TTAAAAATGGGTGACCCTGGAGGACATTATGCTGAGTGAAGTATCTCAGTCACAACAGGACAAATACTGCATGGTGCCACTGTTGTAAAACAGGACTGACATCAGGTTTGGGGGGAAATTGAGAAAGATGGGTTCAATAATGTATACTGCATTGAAACAGATGAGGGAGAAAACTGTTTAAAAGGGTTATGTTATTAGGTATTTTTGTCATAACAGGAGTCCAGACGAAGGCTGCATAGTGGAGTGGACCTAGGGGGAAGGGACTGTAAAACAATGAAAGAATTTTTCTTTTACTTTTCCAAGAGGGGAGTGTACATGGGGGGGAGGGCTGGGAGAGGAGAAAAGTGCAACAATGAATGAATGGAAATACAAAGTCTCTGTAAATTTTCATTGAAATAATAAAAAAAAACCTAAAGGAACAAAGAAACTAAGTTTTCTACTGATATTCTGAAGAAGTAATTAAAAATCAGTACTTTTCCTAATATACAATTAGTATATTCTCTGAATTTTAATTTGAAGCATATTTATTAGTTTATAAGCCAACAAACCTTGTATTTCTGCATTATGAAACGTGCATTACAACAACCACATAGTACTTTTAAAAAATAGTAACCAACACACTCTCAACAACTCCAAGTTGACAGTATTTCTTTTTACAGGTGCAGACCTTTTACAGATAACAGTCTATGATGAGTCAAGACAGACTCCCTTTCCCAAAAGAGAATAAAAACACTTAAGACATGCTTTTTCTGAAAATACTAGTATTGGACGTGAACATGTTATGCACAAAACTCATTGATGTTGAGTTGTAACCAGTTCTTAGCTGACCCTACAGTGAGTTTTCAGATGTAAAACGTATGGAAGGAGAGAGAATGCCTATCCATCTCCCACAGAGCCACTGGAGAATCAGAATCACCACAGGTATCATCTTTGATTTAGCAGTGCAGCCTCTTATGGACTAGGCCACCAGAGTTCATAATGTGGACATGGTTTATTTAGTCAGTTTTTTTATTCCTTTAGACAAAATAGTACTTGTTACAGTTATTTTAAATACTGCTTTAAATTGAATCCACTAGAATATATTTCCACAAGGGACTATTAAATTTCTAAAAGGATATTTTCAATTCCATTATCTTTGTATTTGATTTGATTTTGTGAACATCTTTTTAAAATATGTGCACAATATAAAGTTTCTATGGTACCTAAAACAGGACCTTGTAAGATCAATGCCACAATTCACGTTGTGATTTTAGTATTCTGTTTTCATCAAAGTATTTCATCACCAGATTAAATAGGAGCATTTAACACCTACTCTATACTTGGTACTTTATGTACTGAGCATCTTTTTAAAACCTTGCATGTATGGACAAATTTAGCCACATTACACAGATAAAGAAACAGCCACAAAACTACTAGATACCTTGGTCAAGGTCGCAGAGCTAGTAAATGGGTGTGTAGAATTAAAACAAATTAAATCCAAATCCATACATATATCACTGAACTACTGTGCTTGAAACCCTTAGGAGTTATGAGTTTGTCTGAACATCTTATGTTGTTCTTTTGGCAACTTCAAACTGCAGTTTGAGACTAAATTTTACAAGGGTCAGACTTCCTAAGGCTCTGAGTCCATGATGCCAGATTAAGATCACCTGCAACCAACCATGCTGCAGATGGCACACATCTACTAAAGGAACCAAAGTGTGAAACACTATGGATGTGAACTTTGTAATCAAACGAATAGAAATTTTTTTAAAAGGAATCCAAATAGCCTACTATTCTATTTCAGGAGGGGGGAGATATTAAAGTGTAAATTAAAAAATTTACATTTTCAGTGTAGTTTAAAAGAAACTGTTATGTTGACTAACTTTTCCTGCTGCACTTGGATCAATAAAAGTAACAATCTTAGCCATTTACTTGTAATTTGTGTCTTGAGCAGCTCTGTATCAAACTTTACAGTATTTAATGTCCTGAAATCAGTAATTTGCATTTTAAAATATAAACTAGAGCAAATTAAAAGTCATCCCATTAAAATCACATCATCCTAGATTGCATGCAGCCTAAAAGGTTATCAAGATGGGTGAAAGGGTTAATACTCCAGCCTTGGCACTGAGGAGCTCCATTATTCTGTGTTCCTTATTGATCATTTGTTTCTTTCATCACATGACTTTAAAACAAAAAGAGAAGCAGGAAAAAGTGCTTTGCACTTAAAATAATGCATCTCTTCCCCCTACCTTTGCCAATCCTAGCACATCCTCAAGTCACTCTAACAATACAAGAGTAAATCTTGAGCTCCAAATAAAAATGTTAGTAGGTTCCCATTATTTGTTATTAGTTGTGAAATAATATTCTAAATTTTCTGCTAAACAGAAATTAGTGTGTTCCTCAGGGGAAGAAAATAAAAAGGAGCAGCTGATTGTGGCTAACTTTATTTTGTTATTAACCTATCCTCTATATTCTTGAACACACGGAAATAGGTACATTCAATTTGGGAAGTAACTACTAAATTTTGGCAAGTAAATACAAATTTGAAAGAAACAATAACAGATAGCTCAAATAAAACATGTGCTTTATTAAAGACAACCTTAGCCTAAGTATCCTCTCTTAAATCATCCAAGAAACAAGAGAACCCTAGAACACATTCCCCAAAGACAACTTCTTTATACCCTGGACAACTGCCAATTAACTTTCACCCAAAGTCGCAAAACCCATTTCCACTGAAGCTTACAGTAATTTCCTTTTCTAATTCTATTCTCCCCATCCCATTAAATATACTTTTACCCATTGCCACTGAGTAGATTCCAATTCCTAAGAACCCTATAGGACAGAATAAAATTGCCACCTGAGTGTTTCCAAGGTAATCTACACAGATGTAGACTGCCAGCCATATTTTTCTCTAAGTGGCTGGTGGGTTCAAACTGCTGATCTTTCAATTTTCAGAAGACTGTTTAATCACTGTGCCACCAAGGTTCCTTAAGAATTACCTTACAAGCATGTAATTATCAAAGACTTTTTTCTTGCAATAACACACGGCATATGTTAGGAAGGGGAACATTAAACCTCAATTCCACACAGCTCCAAAAAGCTCCAAAATTTAATTAATGTATGACTTTTCATATATAACTTAAGTTTCCTTATCTGCAATGATATTTATCCTATAAGGTTGTTTTGGTAATAAAGAGTAAATAACATAAAATTTACATAGCAATGCCAAGCACATAGTAAAAGTTAAAAAAATTGAATTATTATTCCAATTTTTCTATAAAACCAAGTATTATCCTCCCATTATATCCTCTAATTTAAGATTAGAACAGAAAACGAAGTCAAAAGTACATGAAAGGATTAAACAACCCAGAAACATTGCCTTATTAACTTTCTACTAAAAGATGCTAATTTGTTAATGCAAATACACTGTAAGAAATTCCTAGGTGTTATACAGAATTATTGCATATACATTTATAGACCCAAACATTAATATATCTTGCTTTCTTCTTCTATACTTCAAGTTTTCAATAATGCCATGTAATTTTTATAATTAAATTTTCCTAGAGCTGAACACCTCAAAGATTCATCTTTGGGATAAATTTTGCTATGATTAAATAGATCAATCTATTTAGAGAGTACAAGCTGATAGGAATTTATGGTACTTGTCCAAATATTGCCAGTGTACAAAATATTTTCAAAAGTTGTTTCTTATGTATCAGATCTGAAAATGCAATAGAAAAAAAAAAGAATTTGCATTCAAAACAAACAGACGCAAGCAATACCTGCTTCCATTATGCTAAAAAATGTAAAAGGTTTTTTCATAAGCACTCTAGATATAAATATTAACTGTGTGAGTTGAGAACTTTGAAGTTTCAGTATTCAACAAGGTACACAAGTATATTCTATAAACATATCCCCTATAATAATCATATGCAAATACCATTTTGTCACAAATACTACCAAAACCCTCTCTGTAAACGCAAAGTACAAACACATTTTAAAAGAAAGCTTTCAGTTATAGCAACTACAAAAGCAATATATATCAACACAGTGATTTTTTTAAAAGAGAGTATAATGTAAAATCTAAACACTACAAAAGTGTTTTTTTAAAGGATGCAGTCTTGAGTTTCATAATACAAGTTACTAAATACTGTTTCAAAAATAATGAAACATATTCTACACAATTCTTGACCTCAACCTCAAATAAAACAAAAATTAACAGATGAAAGCTAAGTATGTAGACATAATGCTATAAAATACGATTTTATATAAAATGTACCACTCTGTAAATATATAAGGCTTAATATGAACATTTTTGGATTGTGAGTGTTATATACTATAACTTTTGAGAGATGTTCTCAAACCATTCAATGTGTAGCATTTCTAAAAAGTTTTGATATTTTTCAAGTGAGTATGGTACAGAATACAATTTAATGTGAACCTGCCCATACTATTTCACTCAATAAAATCAAAACCCTCTTTAAGCTTAGTAAACACTGTATCTTTTGAATATCGGGTAACTATACTGATTCTACTGATAGCAGTATTTTGTATGATTAACAGTGACAAAAATTGGCCACAGTTTAAATAGAAGATACAAATTAGATGTCAGTTTTAAGTTTGCTCAATTTAAGTATATAGTCATGTTTGCTTTTTACATGAAAGTGAAGGCAATAAATTAATTTTTGCTTTAACTTAAAAATATTTTTGTAAAAAGTACTATTAATATCAATGCCTGAAATTCAGAATTTTCTACATTTGTTCCATTTTATCCGGTTATTTTGGAAAATACCCTTAGCTACAATATTGAAGGGGGAAAAAAGTCCATGAAATTGGTGACTTAAGATACGTAATTAATGGTGTGGGCCCTTAAAATGAATCAAATCTGTAAGGTATTTCTTGCATATGCATAAACTATTATCAACTCACATTTTCTGTAAGCCTTGAAAAATTTTTATTTAACATAATAAGAGGCTTAGTAATGGTAACATATTAAACTAGTGCTCTTCTCTTGCTGTTCACCAACTGTTTTTATGACGGTAACTCTGAGATCTGGAATGTGATCGAAAATGAGAGTGCTTTGCTATTTGTGCTTTAGTTTCAGAATTGGTGTACCCTTTGGGAGATTTACATGGGGATCTTGCTATGGAGTCAGAATGTCTTCCATGGGATCTTGATTTTGCTCCTGAGCTCATTTGCTTTTGAGGTGAACTTGATTGTGATTTTCCTATTGACTTGGATCTTTTTTGTAAGGACCTTGACCGTCCTCTAGAACCAGAATTTTTTCTTGGAGTTCTTGACTGCCTTGCTGAGGTAGACCGCCTTGGTAGTGATTTGGAACGAGATTTCGATTGACTATAAGAAAACCTCCTGTGTCGAGACCTGCAAACAGCCATATGTTAGGGTATGTATTTCACACAAATATAGTTAACAGGTAAAGCAGTAACATTTCCAGGAATTTATATCAACATACAATGTTACTCTTTCATAAGACAGGTAAAATGGATTATTCCAATTTTAATGCTTTTGCTTCAAACATGAGTAACAACTTCATAATATTTATTATGCTCTAATATGTACCCAATAGATTTTTACTTTGCTAAATGTATCTTAAAGTATAGATCAAGTAGAAAAAAAAATAATTTCACATAGTAAGCCTGAGTTATGTAACTTTTGTTGTTGTTGTTAAGTGCTGTCAAGTCATAGGAGACTCATTGTGACCCTATGAATGAAAGTCCTCAACACCTGTGTGACTTTCATCCTTTCTCCAGGTTCACAGCATTTCCTGAGGCAAGCTATTACGGAAGTGGATGCCACTCATGCTTCCAAGCTTGTTTTAATTGGGGAGCTCCACTAAACACTGTCTGCCATGGGTCACCATTAACACATTTGACAAATCAGTATCACAGTGTTCAGTTTCACTGCAACCACAAGTTACCACTGTATGGCAAGTGGACACACCAAGGCTCTACAACCTAGAAGAATGTTTGAACAAAAACAATGAAAAACAGGCCCAAGGGCCTATGGCCCTCGGGCCCCTCAGTATCTTACCATTCCAGCATTGCCAAATGCTGGCAAACTCTGGGCCAGAGACCCCTAGTTCATCTGGAAGTCTGCTCTGCTGACACCCACTTGGGACAAAAAGAAAGCCACATGTGCCCGGAGCACGCCATACCTCAAGAAGCCAGGGGCCACATATATAACTTTTAAGATCATGAAAATCTGATAAGAAAACAATTTTTTAAAGTTTAGAAAATAAAGGTTATAAAAAACAATAACAGAGAGTCTAACACAAGACATCTGAATCCAGACAATATCAGATTCATCATCCCATAGAAACAACTAGGGGAGAAAAGGCTAGACAAAGTTGTTAAAACAACTGGTTTAGGCACTGGAAAATAACCAACAAATGTGCAATGTTACAAAGCCTTGATTCTTTAATTAGAGACCATTTTCCAAGTGGCAACATAGTGGAACAGAAATACGCAGAAAAATGGCTGAAACCTGAGTGTTAAAATACTAGATGAGGACGTTGCAAAGGGGGGTAAAAAAATCTTAAAACTCTCAAGTGACTGGATATAATCTAAGTTATGAATACAAACAGAACCCAAGAGACCAGCAGAAAATAGTAGGGGAAAGATTCAAGAACTAAGTTGAAATTTCATCACCCACACAGTGCCTGGGAAAGTGCTGTAGTTAACTCTTCAAAAGATGAAGAAGCCTAGGGTCATATCCTAGGGTAAGGGCAATGTTCTAGAGGTACAAATACAGGCAGGAAGAAAGAAGCCACAGAAATACCTAAAATCAAGCCTTAATCAAGGTGATCAGCCAGGACATTGCCTGTGAGACCAAAACAACTTTAATTAGAGGATTTTAACATCCAAAGCCTCTTAAAATTTTTTATTCACAATGCCAAAAATTGAGGCATCTAGAAGAAATAGTAAAAAATGACTAAAAACTACTACCAACAAAAATTAAAAAATCTCAGACTCAAAATAGATATGAACATTATTAAGACAGTTTTAAAAATTAATGATTAATATAATCCATAAAATAAGAAAGAAGGCAAGCAGAAGAGATTTAAAGATAATAAATTTCAAATGAAAATTTTCTCTCAGCTGACTCACCACTAGGTTTCTGAGACTGTGAATCACATGAGAGAAGACTGCTCATCTTTCTCCCAAAAAGCTGCTGGTGGACTTGAACTGCCAGAGAGCTTTCGGGTTAGCTGCACAACGTCCTACAGATTATGCCACCAAAGCCATAAAAATACTCACGGAAAATATACACTATATGAACATAAGAACTGAGTAGATGGATTTAACAAGAGTCTGGTTATAGTTAAGGGCAGAAACAGTGATTAGAAGACATCCTATTGAAACTGAGAGAAAAATAATTTTATGAATTTAAAACTGGCCATAAAAGCTATGTGAAGCATAATTCCAATGCCAAGAGGAAAGACTGGGATAAAAGCAATATTTGAAGGAATAATGGTCAAGAAATTTCCATAACTAATAAAAAGTTATCAGCTCACAGTTTCATGAAGTTTACCAAATCCCAAGCAGAGCACACACTACACTAGACACAGCATATTGAAACTGTTTATGGTAGGGAGCATCTGGAAAGGTATCAATCAGAGAATAAGCCAAAGGAGAAACAATAAGGCTGACAGCTAACTTTAGACAACACACATACCCCGCTACATACAGAAGATAAAATTCCCATTAACAGAATTTTATTCTCAACAAAGATATCCCTCAAAAAGTTAATATAATGTAAATAACGGCATTATATAATCATGCTGGGAAAGGTGGAGGGTGAGAGAGAGGAAGACCCTCAACAAGATGGAATGACACAGCGCCTATCACAACAGGCTTGAACATGATAAGAGATTGGTATATGGTGCAAGATAGGGCAAGATTAAGATGTGTTGTTCACAGGTCTGTTGTTCACAGTTCTGGTGGCCTAGTGGTAAGGAACTGCCAACCTAAAGTTACATTGTTCAAATCCACCAGCTGCTCTGCAGGAGAAAGATAGGCAATCTCTTCTGGTGCAATTTACTGCTCTGAAAAACTGCTAGAGGGTCAGCTATGGATCGGTTCTGACTTGGTGGCACTCAGAAACAAAGATATATCTCTATCTATCTATCTACCTATCTATCCATACACACACACACACACACACGAACTGAATTTATGGAAGATTTATGGAATACCTATATAAGCTAGCTAGGGATATAAACTGAAAAGTGCTAAGGATATAAATATCAGACAAAAATCTTGCCTCTCAAAGAGTTTAGTGGTAACAACACACTAGCATTTCCCCCACATTTACTGAATGTAAAATGAAAGATCTTCTAGTCCAAAGTGATGCAATAATTGTATTTATAAATAAGTATTTATATGTTCAAGCAGTCAATGAAAAAGAGGAAGACTCACAAGATGGATTGGCACAGTAGCTGCAATACAAGTTTAAATACAGGAGATACTGTGAGGATGGGTCAGGATAAACCAGGGTTTTATTCTCTTGTACACAGGGTTGCTAGACTCAACAATAACTAATAATACCCAAACACAAAATCTGGTCCTATGAATATACTGTGAACTGGTAAGAAATGCATTATCTGTTATATAATTTCATAAATTAGAAAAACTGGGGTCAAGGAGGTTAAACAATTTGTCTTATAATTAATACAAAGCAGAATCATCTTGCAATGAATGGCCTTTTCTATCCTGGTAATACCATCATGATCTGGAACAACCAATAGTCGTTTTTTTTCCTCTACTAAGTTTTATGCTTTATTTCCCTATACTATTACAGAAGAAAATTACGTGACCATCTACTCTCTGTAGATCAGTCAGGAGAGTGACTGATTAACTATGACCCTAATGCATTTGGAAACAATGTAAAATTAATGAACCAAAAGAGCAGTTGGTTTTTTCCTTCCAAAAAAAGTATTTTTCACCAAGACTGATGGATAATATTGAAACAGTGTTGCTCAGGCACAAAATTGTATCCTGATATATAGATCAAACCATTCAGATTATACAAAACAGTTGTATCACTAAACTTATATTAAACTGGAATATAAACACATACACACATATAAAACTACTGTATATGAACTATAAAATATCATAAGTCCCTTACAATATTTATGTCCTCAGTGAAGCTAAAGCATTGTAATTGGTACTTAGGCTATTTATCCATCTTCAAGGAATATAAATTTAAAAAGAAAATAATTTTATCTATCCTCACCACATCTAAGTTTTACAGATATAAATTGCATTTGAGTATAGAAATTAAGCTTCATAGAGTAAAACCTCAAATAGCCAATCAAGGAGAAAATGGCTCATTCATAGGTATGGGACAAATTATATTATTCTTCACTAAGATTCCACGGAGGTTTCTATTATCACATTACATACAAAAGTTTATATTTCTATCAGAAAAAAGATTTTTTTTAAGGATTATATCCCAGAGTATGCTATGGTTATTTCTAAATACTTCTTCACCAATCCTAGTAGTGGCCCAATTTTGACCTTAGCTCTCTAGTCTTCTAACACAAGTTTAAGGCTTCTCTACACTTAATAAATCCTGACCTTTATCAGTCAGTATCAAAGAAGTTTAGATTTATATCAAAGGGAGTTTACTAATCTGACACAGTTTATAGGCTCTGAAAGGCCATATTTTCTAACAATAAGGATTCTTGAATACTTACAAGTTATGAAACATGGATGTGGCTTTATTCTCCTATCTCCCTTTCACTTAGCTAAAGGAGTAGAAGCTAGTTTATTTCATTTTCTTGTTTTCAGAGTTAGTGATTTAGGAATTCAGGAGCCTTGCTCTGGTACACATCTATTATTACATTGGATTTTTCTGTGTCTAGGGTCTGCAAACCAAAGAATGGCATGGTGATATGAATTATCATCTCACTCCAGTAAGAACAGCAAAATTTAACAGAACAGCAACATCAAATGTTGGCGAGGTTGTGAAGAAACTGGAACCCTTATTCACTGTTGGAGGGAGTGTAAAATGGTATAACCACTATGAAAGGCAGCATGGCACTTTCTCAAAAAGTTGTAAATAGAAATACCATTTGACCATTTGTTCCACTAGTGGGAATATACCCCAAAGAAACCACAACCGCCACCCAAGCAGATACATGCACATCCATGTTTATTGTGCCTTTGTTCACAATAGCAGAGAGCTGGAAAAAACCTAAACGTCCATGAACAAACGAATGGATAGAAAAGCTGTGGTATATTCACAAAATGGAATACTATGCTGCACTGTAAAACAAGTAGCTCATGAAATATTAAAAATGGTTGACCCAGGAGGACATTATGCTGAGTGAAACAGTCACAAAAGGACAAATACTGCATAGTAACACTGTTGTAAAACGGGACTGACATCGGGGTTGGGGGGGAGACTGAGAAAGATGGGATAAATTATACTGCATTGAAATAGATGAGGGAGAAAACTGTTTAAAAGGGACATATGATAAGGTATTATTGTCATGACAGGATTCCAGAACGAAGGCTGCATAGTGGAGTGGACTTGGGGGGAGGGATTGTATAACAATGAAAGAATTTTTCTTTTACTTTTCAAAATGAAGGCTGCATAGTGGAGTGGACCTGGGAGGAGGGGCTGTATAACAATTAAAGAATTTTTCTTCTACTTTCCAAAGAGAAGAGCGAATGGGAGGTAGGTTGGGTAGGGAGAAAAGTGCAACAACGAATGAATGAAAATCCAAAGTCTCTGTAAACTTTCAATAAAATTAATTAAAAAAGGGGGGGGATGGTAGAGTGAAGAAGAAAGAGAGCAGATGAGTAATAAACTTTGACAAACTGCCTTATTAATCAATCATTTTTGGTACAGTGACTCCATCTTCTTTAGATGCTTTCTAGGTCATCCAATGTATCACCCATCGTATATTTCAATACTGCAATATGAGGCTTAAATATGGTTTTTAGTTCTTTCAGCTTGAGAAATGCACAGCAAGTTCTTCCCTTTTTATTTTTCAATTCTGGCTTTCTGTACATTCCATTGTAATACTTTGTTTTGTCCTCCCGAGCTGCTCTTTAAAATTGTATGTTCAGTTCTTTCACTTGGACATACTTTCCTTTAGATTCTCGATGCTCCAGTGTAATCTTTTAGAGTCTCTTCTGACATCCAGTTAGACGTTTTTCCTATCATTGATTTCACATGCAAGCAAGATCCTACTGAAGATTATCCAAAAATGACTGGAACAGCACATTAGCAGAGAACTGCCAGAAGTCCAGGCTGGGTTTAGAAGGGGTTGTGGTACTAGGGATATTGTAGCTGATGTTAGATGGATCTTAGCTGAAAGAAGGGAATACCAGAAGAATGTCTATCTGTGTTTCACTGATTATGCAAAGGTGTTTGACTTTGTGTATCATAACAAACTGTGGCTGACTCTGAGAAGAACAGGAATCCCAGAATATTTGATGGTGCTGATGTGAAACCTATACTTGGACCAAGAGGCAGTCGTCAGAACAGAGCAAGGAAATACCGCATGGTTCAAAATTGGGAAAGGTGTACGTCAGGGATGTGCCCTATCTCCATACCTTTTCAACCTGTATGCATAACAGATCATCTGAGAGGCTGGGCTCTATGAGGAGAAATGTGGGGTCAGGACTGGTGGAAGATCTATCAATAATCTGCATTATGCAGATGACACAACCCTGCTTGCTGAAACTGAGGAGGACCTGAAATGCTTGCAGCAGAGATTCAAGGACTGCAGCCTCCAATATGGACTGAGGCTCAATGTCACGAAGACAAAGATTCTCACCACTGGACCAACTGGCAGCATCAGGATGGATGGTGAAGAGATTGAGATTGTTCACAGCTTTAGTTTGCTTGGCTCCACAGTCAACACTCTTGGCACCAGCAGACAGGAAATTAAAAAAAAATTATTGTGATGGGAAAGTCTGCTGTCAGGGACCTCTCCGAAGTCTGAAGAGCAATGGTGTCACTTTGGAGACTAAGGTGCGTCTGATACAGGGCATGGTCTTTGCAATCACTTGTTATGCATCAGACAGGTGGACAATGATTAGGAAGGACAGAAGGAGAACTGATGCCTTTGAGTTGTGGTGCTGGCAAAGAGTATTGAATGTATCATGGACTGCCAAGAAAAGAAACAGATTCATCCTGGAGAGGGTTAAACCAAGCTGCTCCTTGGAGGCAAGGATTCTGGGGCTTCGTCTGACATACTTTGGACATGTTGTAAGGAGGGACAGTTTGCTTGGGAGGATGGAGGGACGGTACAAGAGGAGAAGACCCTCTATGAGGTGGATTGATTCAGTGACTGGGGTAATCGGGATGGGCATGTCAGAGGCAGTGCGACTGGCACAGGATAGAGCAGGGTGTAGGGCTGTTGTACATAGGGTCTCTATGAGTCGCAAGCGACTCGACAGCATATAACAACAAACAACAACAACAACTAGGCTGTTGTCTACTATTTCAATAGCTTAAATAAGGACTTCCTACAACTTACTATTATTCTGATAGAAACAAACTCTCACTGAGCAAAGTATTTGGAAACTTATATTTTCCTCTTCAACTTCCTAGTTTTAAATGTTTTCTTGCTATAATACTGTCACATTTGGGATCTGTGATGGTAATTTCTTTTTCTAAGTAATTTATATTAATTTTAGTCAACTTCCTATCATGACAAGTAAATGTATTATATTTCTTAAAACTTTAGCCTTTATCAGAACTCAAGAGTCCAAATTATTAGGTTCATTTACATTAAAATTTATCCAAAATTCTACCTTATTTGTCAAGCATATAATTTTTGGTTTTTCTTCAGTGACTATTACCAGAAACAAGTATAGCATACTCTGGGACATAAACATTTTTGCTTAAATCTATTATGAAACAAAACTACTGAAACACATCCAATGATTCCAAGTAAAATAATATTAACAGAAAAGACTCTACTTTTCTATAAAAATTTATATAGAATAAAAGAACCCATGTGGCCTGTCTTTAAGGATTCTAAGCACCTGCTACTGGGAAAAAGCAGAAAAATAAGTGTGTAGTCTGGTTCTACTCTGTACTCACTCTTTAAGGCTATCAGATCGTCTCCTGTTTCTGCCCCAGGAAGAACTTCTACTTCGAGTTCTTCTTTGGCTGGGACTTCTGGATCGCCGATGATCACTTGGAGAACAAGGATGACGTTCTTTTGATTTCATCTGTCCTGGTGCTAGAATATAAATCATAATTCATCATATGAAATCATCAATAGTAGTCATTTAGCCAATATATATTAAGCATTTTAAAAATAACTTTAAATAAACTATTGCTGAAACTGTATTTTTACTTAATAAGCAACTCCAACATTTAGTCATACTTACTTTTGCGATCACCCTGTGCAAACTGTATTTCAATCTGACGGCCACATACCCATTTTCTATTAAGGTTGTAAAGAGCATCTTCAGCATCTCGAACATCTTCAAATATAACTAGCTGTTAAGGACACTTTAAGCATCAGATACTAAGTTAAAACATCATTCTGAAAGTACTATTCATATGTGAATTGTAATTTGAAGGAAAATCAATTCCCATTCCCAGTATAATATGAATAATCAGAAAAACTTATTGTTTATTATGAAAGCATGTCTTAGTATGATTTGAAGGTATATTTTAAAGAACAAAAACAAACGTGACTGCACTTTTAATGCGTACTTCAGCAAAGCTGCTGACTGCATGTATAATTTAAACCAGCGTAAGAAACAATTCCAATAGTCGTTAACAGTAAGAATAAAAACTCATGCCATCAAGTCAGACCTGACTCATAGCTGTCCCTCCAGCAGGTTTTCAGAGTCTATAAATTGCAAGGGAGAAGACCACCTATCTTTCTCCCATGAAGCAGTTGGTGAATTCTGAAGTCTGTTGGTTGGACAGCATGACTTCTTAGCCATAAAGCCACCAACATTATAAAATAAGTTGTGTTTAGGGTTCAGAAGTAAAGGATCCATCTGTTTTTTCATTGAACAAATCAATATGCAGAATTCTTTATGTAGAAATGAGCTTATTTTTAAATTTTAGTCCTTTAAAAATTATATTTACCTTTGAATTTATCACTTTTAAAATATCTTTACATTTTTATTTTTACTACTGGAGATATGCTATACATATAAAAGCAATCTGTAAACACCTGGAAAATATTTCTTGGTTTATAATATCATTTAAACTTCCTCACACACATAAATTATCTTAGATTCTCTAACTATTAAGGAAAATAGCTGGGTAAAATGACTACTTGTATTTCAGGAGTTTGTTCACGGCTTTAATTTTTTTAAAGAAAACACTGAGTAAAGCTTATAAAATATAAAACAAGACTGGCATTTTTCTTTGACTATTTACTCTTAAAGTTTATAAGATGGCTTTTATAAGAGATACAGAAATACAAGAATCAGACTTGGCTTTAACTCTGGAATTTGGAATAAATGTTGGAAAGCCAAAGTCTCAATCTGATGTTAGTTTTGGTTTTTGCTTGATAAAGACTTTATCTTCCAGTCTCCTTCTGGACTACTTAACGCTTGAACTTTAGGTGCCTTTTGTCTTCCTTTTTGGTCTATACTTCGATTTTAAAAGTTTGGTTCAAACTAGGGGATGGGGTGCCAACTCCTGTACATGACTTTAAATTTTCCAAGGTACATATGCACATATGTATGAAGTACATTCACATGAACACAATTAAACAAAGGATATTGAACATAAGCAAATCCTCTTGGACGGCGAGTGTAGAAGTCAAGTGGAATGTAAACATCGACTATTGGACCATATCGGCCAAACTCCCGGCGCAAGTCCTCAGGCCTGAAACATTTTAGAAGTAAGGTAAGGAAACATCAACAGCTGGATTAAGATACCTACAGAGATCCAGTAGATACTTACAAAAGAAAATACAGTATCTAGATGAGAATTACCTAAAAGTATCTTAACTGTGGTTAAGAATCACCTGTTCTGAAAGGAATTTAAAAAAAACACCAAAAAACAGAAAACAAAACCACACATTCTCAGGCTCCTCTCTTAGTAATTTAATTTGACTCCGGACAACTTGACTAGGGACTAGAAACAGGTTTAAAGGACTCCAGGGGATATCTATGCCATGTCAAATTTTAAAAAGTCGCCATTAAAAAAGTAAAGAATAACTAAAAAGTTATTCTTGAGCTCTGGTGGCCTAGAGGCAAAGAAGCTGTACTACAATCCCAGAGATGAGCAGTTCAAATCTACCAGATGCTCTGCTGGTGAAGGAGGGACAATTTCCTTCTGTACCAGTCAGATCCAATTTGACAGAACACACACACACACACACACACACACACACACACACACACACACAATAAATAAATATTTTAAAAAGGTTATTCTTATTACATACAAGACTTTTCAACTATCAATATAGAGTTCTAAACATTGTTTCACTAAGAACACATTTGTTGGCCTCATAATTACCTGTGTAAGCTAAATTTGTTTTCAAATAATAAAGAGATTAGATTTAGAAAATACATTTATATTTAAATATATATACTATGATGTTATATATAAAATAAATATATTTATATTTAGCAAACAGCACTTACAATGATGTCCTAACATGATTTCTCAGGTTTAAAGAAAACAAAAAAGAATCTTTACTAAACATAAAATGACTAGTTATTTTTCAAAACTATTTTGGTAAGTATATTTGAGCCTATGACTGTGATAGGCATTATTATTAAATATTTAAATATTTGATAGTATTTATCTTTTTAAACCTACACAATTTAGCTGAAACAACAAAACTCATAGCAATAATAAAATCCAATGGTGTTGAGTTGATTTTGACTCATAGTGACTCTCAATCAGGTTTCTGAAGCTGTAAATCTTTAAAAGGGGAGACTGGCCATCTTTCTCTTGCAGAGAACAGTGGCTGGTGGAGTCAAACTTTGACCTTTTAATTAAGCCCAATGTTATATACTATGCCACCTCAAAACAAACAAACAAAACAAAGAAAAACAACAACAAACAAAAACCACCAAAAAACTCTCATTGCTATTAAGTTGGAATTGACTTATAGCTGACCCTCCAGCAGGTTTTCAGAGGCTGTAAATTACACAGGAAAAAACTTCCCACCTCTCCTGCACAGCAAATGGTGGATTCGAACCACATTCCCTTGGGGTGGTAGTGAAATGCCCTATCACTATGCCAGCTGCATTCCTTAAGACAGTAATAGCTGGCAGCTGGACACACTTGGCATTGTTCTAAAATCAGTTCTTTCTCACAAACCTACAAATGTTTATGGAGAAGGATACAGATTAATTCAAGTAAGGTCAACAAGTCATTAAATGTCACTGCTAGCATCAAAGCCTGACACTGGTTTTCTCCCATTCTGTACAAGATCCTCCATTATGATCCCTTTTCAGAGACATGGGAGTGGCAGCTAGAAGTTTTTTCTGGTCTTTAATTTTTCAAGGTTTCATAGGCAATTCTGAGATTCAGTGTTAGAAATAGTATCTAACCTAAAGTGTCTTCACTGTTCTGTCTATGGACCTACCGCAGCTGCTTGTCTAGCATACAGTTAGCACAAAGAATATGTTCTGCTCCACACCACATAATTTGTTCATGTTGCATTTCTAGTTGATTCCCTTCCTTTGGAGAAGTAAACATTGTTGTGATTTTTTTCAAACTATAGATTTATGACTTCACACACATGGAAAGGTATGATTATAACACAACTTGCTTAGCCATTCCGCTAATGGAGAGTTCAGTGGCTTCAGCATCATTAGCAGCTGCCGCATCCTCAGCAGCCATGGATCTGTTCCAGTCAATTAACTAGGTACTGGTCTTAAAAAATTCTTAATGTGGCCTGGACTGCTTGCCTCCCTGGAGCATTAGACCAAGGCCCTGCTGCTTGGAGGTCTCGCCCCTCTGACTGGTGGCACCAGCCTCGTTGCCTGGAGTACCTGGACCGAAGCCCCGCCACCGGGACCCTCCCACCTGCCACCTGGAGGATGACCCAATGCTGTCCCTCTGAAATGCTCTGGGGACAGCAATATCACAGGTGATCCTATTTCTTCTCCCCTCCCAGAGCTTGAGCTGCCTTTAGTTCTGCGAGGTCAGTAGAATCTATTTTTGTTTTGTTATTATAAATAAAGCAATTACGAGTTATTTATACACATCTGTTCATGTGGACATTAAATCACTGTTTTGGAGATGGAGTGGACTGGACTGGGGAGATAAGGGTATGTATATATTAACTTGTATGAAAATTCCAAGCAGTTCTGCAAAGTAATCCTGTTATTTTATATTTCTACCAGCAAGATATGAATTCAGTTGTACCAGTCTTTGTCAATATTTGGTATTGTCAGTAAATTTTTTACTTTTTGTTGATAATCATATAAATTTTTCTGGTAGATTTATCTTGTATTCTGGTAGCTCATTGTTAGTCGAAGCTGATTATTATAGATTTCTGCTTTTTTTCTACATAAACAAATATACCACCAAGAAAAAGAAGATATTCCATGTCTCTTTCCAATTTTTGTCCTATTTCTTCTCTTTGTCCTGTTGTCTTGGCAAGGTTCTACAAGGTTTCTTGTTGTAGTAGTTAGGTATATCAAGCCAAGTATAACTCACAATGACCCTAAGAAAAACAGATTTGAACCCTGTCCTATCCTGTTCCATCCTCATCATCTCTGACACATTTATGGCCACTGCTGCAGCCACTGTGTAAATCCATCTGGTTGAGGGTCTCCCTCTCTTTCACTGACCCTCCACTTTTCCAAGTATGATGTCCCTATCTTCCAAGAAATAGTTTCTCCTATCTTTGATCTTGCTCGGATCCACAATCAAACACTCTTGGAATCAGCAGTGAGGATGAGAGAGGAGCCTTGAAAAGGGAGAAGCTCTCCAAGAATGTTTGAACTCCTAGGAAGGGAGCTGTATGCTTTGCAAATTGTATTATCTCCAACACACCTATCCATATTACCCCAGTGACTGAATCAATCGATCTCCTAGAGGGTTTTCCTCTTCTGCGTTGTCCCTGCACCCTCCCAAGCATGATGTCCCTCTCCTGAGACCACATTGCAACATGTCCAAAGTATGTCAGATGGAGCTTCAGAATCCTTGCCTCCAAGGAGCAGCCTGGCTTCACCCTCTCCAAGACGAACTTGTTTACTCTCCTAGAAGTTCACGGTATATTCAATATTCTCTCTACTCCTGCACCACAGCTCAAAGGTATTAACTCTCTATCATCCCTAATCATTGTCCAGTTCTCTGATGCATAGGAAGTAATTGCAAAGACCATGCCCTGTGTCAGGTGCACCTTAGTCTTCAGAAAGAAATCCTTGCTCTTCAGTACTTTGGAGAGGTCTCTGACAGCTGACTTTCCCAATGCAATTAGTCTTTTAACTTCCTGGCTGCTCATATCAAGGATGTTGATTGTAAAACCAAGCAAACTGAAGCTGTCAACAATCTCAAACTCTTCACCATCTATCATGATGCTGCCAATCAGCCCAGTGGTGAGAAACTTTGATTTCTTTTCCTTTTTTAAATTAATTTTAATGAAAATTTACAGAGACTTAGGGTTTCCATTCATTGTTGCACTTTTCTTCCTGCCCATCATTTCCTTCCCAATATGCTCTTCTCTTTGAAAAGTAAAAGAAAAATGATTTCTTTTTTATACAATCCCTCCCCCCAAGTCCACTCCACTGTGCCACTGTGCAGCCTTCATTCTGGATTCCTTGTGATAACAATAATATCTAATCATATATCCCTTTTAAACAGTTCTCTCCCTCATCTGTTTCAATACAGTATACATAATTTATCCCCTTTCTCAGTCTTTCTTCAACCCCTATATCAGTCCTGTTTTACAACAGTGGCACTATGCAATATTTCTCTTTTTGTGACTGAGATATTTCACTCAGCATAATGTCCTCCAGGGTCACTCATTTTGCATATTTCATGAGTTCCTTGTTTTTCAATGCAGCATAGTATTCCATTGTGGGAATATACCAGAGCGTCTCTATCCATTTGTTTGTTGATGGGCAGTTAGGTTATTTCGAACTCTTTGCTATTGTGAACAAAGCCACAATAAGCATGGGTATTAAAGTATCTGCTTGGGTGGCGGTTATGGTTTCTTTAGGGTAAATTCCCAATAGTGGAATTGCTGGGTCAAATGGTATTTCTATCTGCAATTTTTTGAGAAAGCGCCATAGTGGCTGCACCATTATACACTCCCATCAACAGTGAATAAAGGTTCCAGTTTCTCTGCAACCTCATCAGTATTGGATGTTTGCTGTTCTGTTAAATTTTGCTAGTCTTACTGGGCTGAGATGATATCTCCTAGTTGTTTTGATTTGCATCTCTCTTAGAGCTAGGGATTTTTAACATTTCTTCATGTGTTTGTTGGTCATCTGAACGTCGTCTTTGGTGAAGTATCTGTTAACATCCCGTGCCCATTTTTCAAATGGGTTATTTACCTTTTTTTGTCTTGTTGTGGTGCTCAAGTATTTTATAAATTCTAGATATAAGTTCCTTGTCTGAAATGTCATTACCAAATATTATTTCCCAATCTGTGGCTTCCCTTTTTACGCTGTTGCAGAAATTTTTGGATGTGCATAGGGATTTGATTCTTAAAAGGTTCCACTCATCTATTGTATTCTCTCCTGGTTGTAGATCTTCCAAGATGCTTGGAAGACTGTTGATGTTGTGGATTAGAGTTCTTCCAAGCTTTTCTTTAATGAAATTCATAGTTGAGCAATTCAGCAAGGTGGCAGGATACTAGATTAACATACAAAAATCAACTAGATTTCTCTACATTGACAAAGAGAATACAG